GCATAATTTTAATAAAATATAGATACTTGTAATATTGTTAAGGCCACATACATCTGTGTAGGGTAGTAGTTGGGTTAATTGTAAAGTGAATTTAAGGCAACTGTCATAAATCTGGAAGAATCTCCAGTCCCCAACCAAGAGTTTTATAACAAAGGGGTTAGCATTGGAGCAGAAACAATTAACGCTTTAAAATAACGATAAAGAGACAATAAAAGATAATAATTATACCAATCCTATATAGCAAGGTACCCTACTATCAACAGTTTAATCTTAATGTTACCAACCATCAATGGACATGTACCGCATCATTTAACATCATCATTGCACAAAATTACAGCATGTATCCCTAGTAAATAGCCAATATATGACCACTTTGAATGCCGTTTTTCCACCCCAAAAGTACAAGATTAAGATTTTCTGGGAACACATTTTCAACTTTAATAGAATACAAACTAATATTCTCTCACAGATTGATCATGCAAATAAAACAATAAAGTCATTTTGTATCATATTCATTTCTCTTTCTTTTGCAAAAGAAGTGGTGTTAAGAGTAACAGCGTCCCCGTGATCTAAATTCTTGTATTGTTAGACAGTGTCGGTTGTAGTCGTCAGATAGATCACATGATTTATTGCACTTGGCCTAAAGCGATCGCAAATGTTATATGACATTTTTATGAAAATTTATTGTCCCTTTCAGCAATGACATATTTATTATATCTTAGTGAAACAAAACCAACTACTTTTTTGAAATATTCAATTACTTTAATCATTGATGAAATATTCAATTATTTTAATCCAGCTAGATTTGCCTTTCTAGATTTTAGGTTCAAATAGATAATAGCTCAAGTATAAAATTTATCAAAGGCTAGTCAGGTGCTTATCTTTCTTTGCTTTTCAACAAGATAACAAATGGGAACATCTGCTAAAATAAAAGGTCACTCAAATTTGGGAGACAATATTATTGATGTTCACTGTTCTTATTCCAAACATACTACATGCATTGTAATTCAAGTTAATCTCTAAGACCTATTTCAAATCAACATATACATGTATGTATACTTTATATGTATATAAATAAATAGGAAATGTATCTAGAACATCTTTAAGTCTGAAGTGGTTAAAGATGTCTTTTATTGGTGTATCAGAATTGTCATTTTGATTTACAAAGAATGTGAATTGATGTCATTATGTAAATGTTTGCTACAACTGCTCTGATCAAATATCTGTTTATTTGCTTACTGCGTTGCACAGACACGTATAGATATAACTTAAATTAAATTGCACAAATTTTTTACATGCATGTGCTTGGAACATGTTGTACTATCTACCTACATGTACATGTATATCTGGTGTGGACTAAATTGTTTCACATGTTGAACAAACAGTTTAATTTAAGCTGATTATAGGGTTTAGTATGCGGATGACAATTTTATGGCTATCTGATCTGTCACGACTATCTGGGAAACTAGTCTTTCTATATACTTTTTATCACTCTGCACAGGTGATCAAAGCCACCTAAAGCGCTTAGTATTCTTTTACAAGGTAAATAAATTTGTCATGGTCTCAATTGAATGATATTTATTCTTAATTATATAAAACATGTTTGGTCTTGGGCCTTAGCATTGGTTACTATGACTAAGATGTAATTTGTCAAACTTCAGATCAAACGTTGTCCACTTTATGTGTTTGTACTTAATAATGCATCATCTTGGGTAGGACCTAACACAGGTCGTATGTACTCCTTTCCTTGTTGTAACTCATATAGATTTTGAAAAATTTGAAAATGGATGAAAATTTTTATTAAGTTGCCACATGTAGATGTTTGCTTATGGAGGATTTTATCCTAGGAATTAGCTTTACTCTATTTGAATATATTGTTTGTTTTTGGAAATTCCTGCAGTCTTTTGTTGACCAATGTGTTGAGTTTCTCAAGTCTTGTATAGATTTTAAAGAATTTAACATTGCTGCAGCCGTGTTGCATTTGCCAAAAAAGAATATTGGGATATTTATTTATGCAGATCTTTGGCTGCAGAACAAGTATATATTATGTTAAATTAAACTCTGTCCATTGAAGTTACGAATGATATAATAACTGATTACTTTTAATGTTATTGAACATAACTTTAAACTTATAAGTAATATTCAGTCAAGTAATCGTCCACAAATTAAAATACCAGATTTTCACCAGCTGTGACATTAAACTTGATTAACTGATAAACAAACAGGTTAAATCGTGCAGGTCACACAGACATAAGTATATAATACTTAACTTTGCACCTGTACCTCAAATGGGGAAGTTGCATTAGGCACCTTGTTTACTATTTAGGTGTATATGTACATATATGTATGCCAAGTTCACATTCTTAAACACACATTACTTATCACACTGTGCAACCTTGCCATGTCAATTTATTTTGTCATTAAATGTGTACGAGAGCTTGCATAAAGCTGTAATCAAGCATTAGGTCTTAAATGTTTAAAAAGGACTTCATATTAAGATCAAACATAATAGATAAATAAGTTTCTTAATATTTATGATTTGAACAAGTATATATACACCCATTCAATAAAGCTTTGCATAAATGTTGAATACAATTGTAAGTATGTCAAGAGTACTATGTAGAGGATAAGCCAAACCGCAATAATGGCAAAATCTACACACTTTCTTAGTTACTAGCCATTGGTAATGACTTTAGTTAACAACCAATAATATGTGAAGCATTCAAGCGACACGCGATATCAAACAATATATTTTCTATACAGTTCATAGTTGATCTTTACTTATATTGCTGTTACTATTAAGATATCCCTTAGGCGTACTTAGAACCCGTGGCTTATTCTATGCATGACTGTGCCCAGCACGAGACTACATTTCCCACTTCTTATTCAAACTTTCATCTATACAATTTTAAACCTCTTGAGGAGCGGACATCTCTTCCCAAAGTATGCATACCATATTGAAACATTTTTTAAAATAGCAGGCCTAATGCAAAGAAAGTCCCCAAAATATGCAATGCAAGTTTACTTTGCGGAACAATAAGATATAATCTTTACTCGTAAAAGCTTTTTGAACGCATTCTTTGGTTTTGTATATAAAGCCATGTTTGATTCAACGTGCTCATTTTTTTTTTACTTCTGCTGAATTTGATGTTTGTATTAGATTAGGCGGTAAAACTAGGCGACAAATAAATTGTCGTTTAATATATTCAGATTACGTACAAATACAAATACACTCTCATGTTTGGGTTTTTTTGACAATAGAACTGGTTTCCTATACAAGAGAAAAATGGGACGGATGTCTTTTGTGGTAACATCTGGATTTTTGACTGTGAGACCCTGGTTATAACATTGTGACACAATAATATACGAATCTTTAATGTTATTTTTCTGCTCTTGCAAATTTATTCTCAAATATTTCAGAAATAAACTTGAAGGACATAGAAAAGAATATTTGGCTGGCTGAATTTTCATTCATAAAACTTTTGTACAATTTAATTTATTTCTACATGCACCAACATTTTTCCTTACCGCCATTTTTCCTTACCATCTTTCTGCATGATTAGAGAACTTTAGCCAAATTGTTAACTACTGTCAATTGAACCTATTTGATAACCATCTTTTTAATGATATAACTCAGTTTGTTTTATTTGCTTTCAAATTCAAGAAAAATCCTTCAATAAAGGAGGCAAAAGAAACTTCCCCTTTTTTCATTTGTATTTTTTGTTCTGTTTTATTTTTACCTTAGCAAGCAAAGGAGGTCGAGCTTTTATGGTTATTCAGTTGAAATGAGTGAAGGTAATGTTTGATATTCATAGAAGAATGCTGTAAGAAATGTTATCTCTGTAATCAAAAGTGTGCTTGCTAGTCGGTGAAGCTGATTTACAGTCACAATAGATAATTTTCAACCATGAAACTTGTGTGGGCCCTACATTGTACATGTTGTACAAAATGAAGGTGTGTATGTGATTTGGATCAGTATACATGCCCATTCATCGCTGAGTTATGTTAAATTTATGAATCATTCAGTAATAAATCATAAACAATTAAATTGTCATCACACCCCTCATGGTAATTACTTGGAGAACTATGATAACCATTCCCTGATGTCTATTCTTTCATACCAACAACCCAAGCTTCTTTACAGAGTATTTCCCAATAATTGTTCTTGGGATTAGATTTTTAACATCCCATCAGTTGAACTAGATGCTTATTTTAGTTATTCATTAACTCAAACCATACAATCATTCCGGTATTTACTGGTCTTGTGTGGAAAAAGGTATCATTATTCTTATGTACTCAAAATTACCATCTGAAACTGGATTTTTAACAACTGATCGGAAACTCATTAAATTAAACTACACTATTGTTAAGTTATGATTATTAGCTTTATGACACAATAATATCTGTTATTTTAATAAAGAAAAACTTAAATAAGTAAGAATTACTGATGATGCTGTATCATTAATAAATAATAATATATTGACATCTATACTTTGATATTTGTTTGTAATTTGATTACTGTTACATTGAATTAAAGTTTAAAATGTGTTAAAGAGTAGTATTTACAGCTGAAGGAAGGAGTTAAACAAGATTTGTCTTTGATTAATATCTTAAAGTTATGGGTAGGTGACATTTATTGCAAGTTGTAGTTACAGGATTAAATTAGTTGAGGTTGGGTTACACAAGGATTTTAGATGAAAGATACATTATAATTATTTAAGTTGAACAGGGGACGTATTGAAAATTAAGATTATATTGGATGTTTCTTTAAAAGGATAATAAAATAGTAGGTGATTATGCTCTTAAATTGGATTTAATAAATCCACCATCATTGTACACCTATTCAAAACCTCTAGTCACATGCATCAGTTCACTGCATCACAATGGCGACATTAGGCATTAGTTGAGCTTTTAAAATGTACCCATTACCTCCAATATTAAAGTTAAATTTATTGTAGTATTCCTTGATTGATTAATGGTTTAGATTAATGTATACTTACTGGTTCTGAAGCTACACTAATACTCCAATATAATAAGGTGGAAAATATGGTTATTAACATCGTGTATAGTGATTTTAACATCCTTTGTTTAAAGTTCTAGTTCAGATAGACATTACACTGTTTCTCTACAAAACAACAGAAAAATATGGATTAAAAAAACTCATTTTCACATAACCACACAGATTTAATGTGAATGTATTCAATTTAAACACTTGTAAATCCATTCAGAATATTTATGTATATTATCTTACATTATGTCAATAATTTTTGCATCTTGTACCCTATTCAAACTATGTGAAAACTACAACTATTCATACTTGCATGGGGCACAAACTTAACCAGAAAGCAATTTGAATACACCCTAAATCAACAACCATAATCAACTGTACTTCTATAACCGTGGTATATATGTACTTATATGAAGATAGTAATTTTACAACAAGAGTCTAACTTACTGGTCACTAAGTGGTTACACCCCCTCAGTATTGTTGTTCTTTCTCCTTTAAACACTGACAACCCCTTTTAATAACGGTCTACAAGAAGATAATCCACAATGTAGAAATGGGCGGCCAGGCAGGTTGTACACAGATTATCACTTTAGCTGCACTATTAACTTTGTTTTTGTCAATCCGCTCACACTGATAAAATTACCCCTACTTTATGCTTTGGGTGTCGAACCATTTCTATTATACACATTTCCTTGATAGTGATTTAAATACCTGCTAAAACTAACTGTAACCCTTAATGTTAGCATCAATCAGACATTTTTCTCTATCAATGCACAAGCAAATCACTAACTTACAAAGAGGGTCTGACCCAGTACCTTTTTTGCAGACAGTCAACCAATGAAATGTGAATGTTTCAGACAATAGGTGGAGCTTGCTAGATGATTGACAGTGGTTAGGTGTGGATGTGTCTGGTAATGTGTTCAAATGTTTGATTTGTAGTAAATCCTTTCTGTCTGCTGTCTCATGCTTTGCCATGCTTAGCTTACCTTTAGTCAATTAATTTCAAATTGGCTTATGTTCAAATTTTCATTGTGATTTATTTGGGACAACATTATTTTTTAAAGTATAAATGTTAGCCATTTCACTTTTGCTGTATGCATGCTAATAATATGAACTTGTAATGGGACCATTTTGTTTATAGTTACATGTATATTTATATCACGTTATGGTATAATTTTGATAGCTGGGTTTAAATCAAGACTGATCTTACATTTTCCTATTGACTTCAAGTTAATACTTGGCTGTTTGCCAAGCTCTAACTTTCCTCTAAAACATATCTTAACTCTGTTATTCTTCCAGCCCAAAACACTAAAACCTGGCAAAAAAAGTATAATCCTGTTCTTGATTTTATATGAAAAAGACCACAAAAATGGAAATGCAAAAGAGGGCAAAAAGGAAATGGGGAGAAAGACTTTAACTAGGAGGAGAATTGATATTTTTGTGGCCTGGATCCTACATTTTATTTGTCACTTTAGCCTATGAAATTCTCCTGGTTTTAATTTCAAATTAGCCTATGGATTTCTTCTGGTTTCAATTTCAAATTCTTTTTTCTGTGAACTGATATTATTCAATCATGAATTATTTAAACTTGAATTAGATTATGTTGTTAAAATAATCTCCTGACATTGTTGTAAGCAGATAGAGACCTAACCTAACGTAATCGTATTAATCAAAATCAAAATACTTGATAATCAAGAATCAATAAACCAAATCTGTTTAGAATTACAGATTTAGAAATATTTTGGACACAGTTTTATTCTTGAATTATGTCTTCAAACTGGATATTGTTGACATTAACACTATGTCTTCTTGTTCTTTTTCTTGTTGCTAGAAATTTATTGAAGTTAATAGTATGTAAAACAAAATGTCCATTGTTTCTAATTTTACACTTTCAGGAGCATGGTTATGTTCATTGTAGTTCACCCTTTCTGTTTTTCACACTTGACTTTGGCTATCCTTTTAATTACATTTCTTAATTGATTTAACCAATTAACATTAATTGGAGTACTGATTATGTTCCTGCCAATAATTTACACCTAAATACATGTCTTAACAAATGCATTTGAACATTTGCTAAGTGGATAGGCTGCTTTAATAACAGTTATAGAGGTAACAGAAGTGCACTAATTAAAAAAATTTCACTTTTAATATTCAGACAAATCTTAGCTAAATATATTAGATAATATTTATCTTTATTATAGAAATCTGGATATGATTGTTAGTATACCCCTAAGGCTAAAACACATTTTATGGTAGGCTCACATTTATATCTGTCTGGCTTGATAGCTACAAAAAATTCTTACAACTATTTTATGCAGAACTAGCAGGATACCCGGCTTCGCTCAGGGGTCATAACTCCGAAACCGGAAGTGGTAGACTAACTTCACCTGGTCTATGTTACTCCCCGATCCGAGCTACCCCTATAACCCAAATTTCAGACTTGGGGCAGACCTAGTGTAGCCGCCAACCCCGAACAGACCGGCTTCGCTCGGGGGTCATAACTCCGAAACCGGAATTGGAAGACTAACGCCACCTGGCCTATGTTACTCCCTGGTCCAAGCTACCCCTATACCCCAAATTTCAGACTCGGGGCAGACCTAGTGTAGCCGCCAACCCCGAACAGACAGACTTCTCTCGGGGGTCATAACTCCGAAACCGGAAGTGGTAGACTAACGCCACCTGGCCTATGTTACTGCCCGGTCCGAGCTACCATATACCCCAAATTTCAGACTCGGGCCAGACCTAGTGTAGCCGCCACCCCGAAAAGACCGGGTTCGCTCGGGGGTCATAACTCCGAAACCGGAAGTGGTAGACTAACGCCACCTGGCCTATGTTACTCCCCGGTCCGAGCTACCCCTATACCCCAAATTTCAGACTCAGGGCAGATGTAGCCGCCAACCCCGAACAGACAGACTTCACTCGGGGGTCATAACTCCGAAACCGGAAGTGGTAGACTAACGCCACCTGGCCTATGCTACTCCCCGATCCGAACTACCCCTATACCCCAAATTTCAGACTCGGGGCAGACCTAGTGTAGCCGCCAACCCCGAACAGACCGGCTTCGCTTGGGGGTCATAACTCTGAAACCGGAAGTGGTAGACTAACGCCACCTGGCCTATGTTACTCCCCGGTCCGAGCTAACCCTATACATCAAATTTCAGACTCGGGGCAGACCTAGTGTAGCCGCCAACCCCGACAGACAGACAGACAAACGACAGTCACAAATATACATATAGATTATTGCATCGTTCACTGAAAGCTACGTTTTCCAAATATCAAAGAGTTTTTGAGCATTGAGTCATTTCTGCCTCTGTAAATAAACCCACTGGTAGTGGTAGGCATATTTCGGTTGCTCAGCATATGCTGTATTAATTGAGGATATTCAATCTTGTCTAGATGATCTGATTAAATTATTAGACGATCAGGTTGTTACTGATAATTATTACATTAGAATGTCAGTCAATCATTGTTTATATAAATCAGGTGGTTTAATATTGATTGATAACCCAATATAATATGTCATTCATCTTGTATCAAACACATAAAATATATTAAAAGCTGGAGAAACAACTTCAAAGCCAAATTAAAATGGGTTCTTTTAAAGTCACTACAGTGCCAAAATCTTGACAAGATTAACAAGCCCTTTCTCTGGGACCTCCGTTTGTAGGTAGGTCGTCAGGATTGCAACTAAATACATAATAATAGTATGTAATGCATTGTTTTTATGGCTATTATAAGCATGCTCAAAGCGCAGTCCAAAAAAGTAAATTACCATCACATGATGAGTGCTTTTGTAAAAAAAATTATGTTTTGATTCTAGATTTTATATACTTCTATAGATGGTGATTTCTTCATATCCATTGGTAGATCGTTCCAGAATATGAAAAACACTGACCGAAAGGAATTGTTTGGGATTTTGCCACAACAAGAAGATTTTAATCTTGGGATCTTAATACTCTTGATGGGGTGTACTGTACTGTTTATTACTGAGTGTTGTTTCAACTAGTCTTCTATCAAGCAATTATAAAATATAAAATGTAGCAAGAATATATACTGAATGTGAAAACAATACTTGGTTAATGCTGACCCACACTAGCATCTCTGCATCCCATATGGACAAAAATTAATTAATTTTGGCAGAAAGAATTATTATTAATAGTTGATGCAATTAGGAAATAAAAAATTAGTTTGAACAACATTTGCAGATGATGTTGCACTCTTATCTCACAGTTGTCAACAGATGTTGTCAAGGACAATTAAAGTCAACACAATATTGACAAGACTGTAGTCTAGAGATAAACTTGAGAATCATTCATATGAATGACAAACTGGATGATCCGATCAGTATTGGCAATATTGTTGATCAAAACTAGAGGATCTGATAAAGACGATTGAAATAACAGGGCAGGACAAAGACTATCTGTAGCTCTGTGCACCATAAAGAATATGAGGTTGGTAGATGTTAGGAGAGATGAAATAATAATAATTACACAGAATAAGCCTAATTAAATCTATAACGTTTTGAAAACATGTTAAACTTCTGCAGTTTTAATGTTTATCATGTGAAATAGAATTATATTTAAATTATTCAATGGAAAAATGTGAGATTGAAATGTTTTAGACTGATGTTTTAGTGGTAAATGACAGATGGGTGTTATGAATAAATTGATGAGAACATATCTAAAGAATCTAATAATAAAACATGACATTTTATTATCTACAATTGGTTGAGAACTTGATGAAAACAATATCTTTCAGGAATTTACAAAGACTCCTGTGAACTTTCATGACATGAAGCAGATTCTTATTATAAGTAGCTCAGTTTGAATTTTATTATTGAATATATTCTGGGTAAGGGATGAAATTTGACAACCTGTCCTCTTAACCATGTCTATGACATCATTAAATGTTTGAAGTGACAGATACAATTTGTTTTATGGTTGAAACCATACAAAGATAATGGTATTAGGTTTAGGGAATTTTTTATAAAAAAAAGTTGCTGCATGGTGTGATACTTTATAAGTGGTTGGGGACCCCTGATAACATTTTTTTAGCCATCATTTTTTCAATAATGTTATTTAAATTTTCTTTTATTGACTAACTACTTCAAATTTACAAACCAGCTTGACGGTAGTTTCAGAAGTATCAAGCAGACAGTGGTATATTTTCATTCTACCGCCCAAGATTTTTATTCTACTTTTCAATGCGAAATATGAGAAAATTATAAATTAGGAATGATTTAATAATATTATAAATATTGGAGTTAGTCATCTAGTTTTGATGGAAATTCCAAGTAAATAAAGCATTTAAGAGTGTGTCCACGAGAGCACCATGCAGGAGGTGCTAAGGCTTCAATCACAGATTTTGACCAAATTTTGTCCCAAAACACATAAATGTGCAATATCAGATGAATCTTTAATTCCTGACTGAGAAAATTGAAAATATTTTTCATATAGTGAAATTGCCAAAATCTGTCTTTTCTCAAATACCAACTTTGGCAAGTCCTCGCACCTTTACTATACGTAGCAAAAAGACCAAACTTACATAGTTTGTAGATGACCTAGTGCTGTTACCATAAAACATACTCACATAGTTTGTAGATGACCTAGTGCTGTTACCATAAAATTCATTTCAGACGATTCTGGTGAACGAGATCTGTATACGGACTGGATATCAAAGCCTATCTAAATTCCCCATTTTTCAGCACCCAAAGTTTGACATTTAAGACAAATTGTGATTGACAAAGCCTAAATTTTGTAAGAAATGCAATGTTATATTAAAACTGGGTCATAAATATTAAGTCT